TTTTAATCTTCTGGTCAAACTTTTATAATAGTTGCACAAAAAAAAAATCCAAAAAGCCCATGAAAGGATTGGATCCAGTTATTAGCTAATTGTTGCATACAATCTTGTTTGAACGTCAGCTTAAACTTTAGAAAAGTAGCAACATCCTCCATTATGTGACTCTGCCATCTGCCTTTACTCTGAGATAAATAGTTGCAAAGAAATCCAGCAACTGGAGTGTCAGTGGGAAAACTTGTGCAAAGCCTACCTGAGTTTATTCTAGTGAAGGCTTGCATCGGGGTCAACCACCACGGCACTCCTCAAATTTAGCTTTGTAAAAACTGACTTTATTTCACCTCCAAGGACATCAGATTCCATTCCAGACTCTGTGACAGTAAGGTTTCCATAGTAGCAAATGTGATTCAAAGGTTGGAGCTGCTTCTGGTAAAGAAAACAGAGGAATAAAAACCAGATGAAACGACACAAACTGAATATGGGAGGATGTGCAGAGGTTATGCATGTTAATGGGTAATTACAGTATTAGTCACAAATGCTCAGTCCGAAACAGCTATGAGTGTGTCTCACCATTTGTGTGCACATCAAAGACAAGACTTGCAAAGCTTACTTTACACATCAATTAATAAAATAACAGACAGTTGGAAAGGAAGTAACAGGTTAAAAAAACCTTTATGAGCAAAAGAAACGTGATTAACTTTCAGTTCAAGCCTAGCAAAAGCTGAGTTTGGTATAAAAAGGGGCTTAAATCAAGGGTGTTAAACTCAGGGCCCGCGGGCCAGATGCGTCACGTGCTGGCCATGCGCATCCCCGTTTTAGCGAAGGGAAAGTCACGATACATCATGTGATGACAACGTGACTCTGCGAGTTTGACACCCCTACCTTAAATTATTACCTAGCTGGACAAAGCAGTAAAGGTCAGTGCTTCCTTCTAGTTGGGACTTGGAGATGGCAGCCTCCCAAAAGTTGAAGTGTTTGGTTCTATATTCCTTGATATCCCTTTGGTCAGCTATAATGTCCCAGTGTGTATTCATTGCATAGCTTGATCTTTTCCCCATCTGGAAAATCAGAAATATTTTCATTCTCATTCACAAGAAGTGATTCATAACAAAGTATTAATATCACCAATTTAATTTTCATGGCGAGTACAACTCTGGTTTCTGTCCAATCATAGCATCAGTGCTATGTTATTCAAATTAGTCCTGGCCAAAAGAGTATATATTCATAGAGCAACATAGACTCTGTAATGCAAATCAGGTCTCACCAGTCTCTTACATCCCCCAGCCAGGCCAATGATTCAATTAATCTCCAAACTTTCTCCCCTGTGGTTTTTCACTATCACACCAACATAACTGAAGAGCTAATTCTCCAGAACTCATTCATATGTGGACAGTGAATACAACACATACAGCCCCCTTGAGAACACATTACCAGCTCTGTTTATGCATCATTTAATGCCAGTTGTGTGTATGCTGAATGTTTATGTCTTTGGGACGGAGTACAAACTTCAGCTGAAGAACTCAAATTCATTCTTCTTCACTTGATATTTAGATAATATGTCAAAGTAGAATTCAGTTTATACAACTGTAATAATTTACTGTATGTACAATATGTTAGCTTGTCACAAATGAACAATATTTGATACATTCATAATTTGAAATAAAATTATTAATGTTGCAATAAAACAGTTAAAGCATTCTGGATTTAAAAATTAAAGATAGGTATAGTGACACATAGAAAACTCACTTCTGGGTGCTTTTGGAATATATAAAGGTTAATCCTACCATAGCAGTGCTAGTTTCCGGTTTTCCATTTTTAGTCATTCGTCCAGGTAGAAGTCAGTGTAGAACCATAATCTGTAATGCTAGTTATCTGAGTAAATTGATTGTAATGTATATTGTCATCTTTCTGTCATTCTTACCCATTGTAATGTCCATGGTGGTCACTGAACTTGGTTGTTTGCCTGCAGATGCATAATCAGTTCTAGTGGGTATGGGATTTGCTCTCTGTTTGTATGCCATAGCTTGTCCTGCCAGTGTTGGTGGGGATGTGGTTTTCTCCATGGTAGTTCCTTAGGATATTGTTTCTGATTGCTCGTTTGTCTGGTATAAATCCCTGCTTATCTCACTGTTTGTTGCTGGAAAGGATGTGTTCCGATCTTTCATTTTCCTTCTTAGCTTTTTTATTGTCTCTTTTGAAAGATCTGTAAATGTGGTTTGTCTCTATGTGTTTATTGATGACTGATTTGTCTGAATGCCAAATTTCCAGAAATTCCCTAGCATTTTGGACTTAGCTTAGTCTAGGTAGGAAGTTCACAATTTTCCAGTTGCATCTATGATTGAATCTGACCATGTGTTGTGATATTAAGAAGTTTTCATTGTGTCTTCTGACTTTTAGTTGGATGCACTCTGCTAGTATTCTCCATGTCTATCCTACATAGTAGCTATTGCAGTACTGTATGTCATAAGTGACTCATTTTCCTTCTTGGGCTACTAGATCAGAGTGTTTCAGAGGGCTTTAGTTGGTTTATTTGCTGTGGTGATGTCCATTATACATAATAGTCTATTGGTTGTTTCTGAGATGTTTTTGATGTATGGCAGTATTATACTTTTCATAGTTTGTGTTAGTTGTAGTGGGTTGAGTAGTCAAGCACTTTTTGATAAAAGTGTGTAGGTATTCAGTTTTTTAGAAGATGTGGTATTGGCAGTCTGTTTCCTTTTTCTAGTGTTCTGGGTTGTTGTAGTGTAGGGGTGTCAAACTCACAGCATCACGGAGGCATCACATGACGTATCAGGACTTTTTCCCCCTTCACTAAACCAGGCAGGGGCGGGGCCAGCACGTGACACATCCAACCCGTGGGCCACGAATTTGACACCCCTGTTGTAGTACATTTATACTCATCTGATTAATGTACTTATGTATTCCCTTTTGTGGGAGGCTACGTTGTTACTTTGGTAATGAAGCCCTTAGTTAATGTGGGTTGTTTTCAATCCTTGCATTTCTAATTGCCATTGTATCCTCTGTTGATGAGGATATTGAGGAAGAATAATGTTATTTTCTTCTTCTTTTGTGAATTTTATTCCACTGAAGCTGTTGATTGTTTCATGTGTCTTCTCTATAATTGCTCTCTTCGTGTTATGATGAAAGTGATATCTACATCCATACTTTTGGTTGTATACTGCATGTGGAGTACTGTACTTTCTAAATCCTGCATTACAGTCTCTGCTGTGACTCCTGAGAGTGGGGATCCCATGGGGGTTCCTCTGATGTGCTGGTATATTTGTCCATCAAATTAAATGTAAGTAGGGAGGCAGAGATTGATGAGATCCATGATTCTGGGCATTTCAATCTTAGTATTGGCTACGCCAGGTGTGGTATAATACTGCTGCCTCTGGAATTTCAGATAAGCATCTCTTACCAGCTGAGTTCGCACAACAGGCAAGCCTTGGCTAAATGGGATTGAGTTGTTTGCAGTTTAGCGTATTGTAGAAACACAGCTGTTGTCTTTGCATATAGTGTGAACCAGGCCACCCATTAAGCCATACTAATGTGGCATAGCATTTAATGTGATTGCAATTGTGTTTAGCTAATTTGGCTTTAGTATGATGGATGATCCCTGCCTTAGAAGAGGAATAAGTATACATTGACCAATCATCTAACACAGGGGTCACCAACCTTTCGGACCTCAGGGACCATTAAGTTCATAATTTCAAATTCCGCGGACCATTAATAGGATCTGCCCATTGACTGGCTGGGTGGGCGTGGCTAGGTGGTCATGTGACTGGGTGGGTGTGGCCAACTCCTCGCCTCCCCGCCTGGGCTCTTTAGGGCCCCAACAGGAAGCAGTTGTTGGAGCTAAGCAGCCACCACGAGAAAGAGTTGGCAAAACAGCTCAGTTCAAATTGGATCTGACCAAGAAGGAGGTTCAGCAGAAGCACCTCACTGAGGACTACGAGCCTAGGCTTTCCAAGCAGAGGGAAAACCTGTGGGAATGCAAGACCAGGTACCAGTGCCTGGAGGCTCAGTGGGCTGAGATGGTCAGCCAGTTGCAGGCCATGAGGCAGTCCCACTAGAACAAGGCCCTCCGGCTCTTCGCCACCAGCGGCGCTTCCTTCCAGCTTTCGTCCAAAGCTCCGCACCAGGAGGCTGAAGCAGACCCTAAGTCAGAATTTCTGCCTCCCTCCGACCCACACAAAAATATCCCGAAGGGGGAGACCCTCTGCAGCAACACAAACGTTCATTGCATGTATCCAGCCCAGGGGCCGTAGTTTGAGGACCCCTGATTTAGTGCAATATTAAAAATGCAAATGATTTTTCTGCAGACCACCAAAATTTTCTCGCGGATCACCAGTGGTCCATGGAGCACCAGTTGGTGACCACTGATCTAACACAGCATGAGGTTTATTTATAATTAGGAAGGATCCTTTCCTTAGTGATAGCATATTTACTTGCGGGCAAAAGGATCCAGGTTTCACTTCCTAGCCAGAGTGAAATGGCTTTTAGGAAGTAGAATTATTTCTTTTTTTCCTGGTACCTTGGTGAGCTGTGGCTGCTAGATTAAAGAAACCTTCCATAACCTGGTAGACTTCATATCCCAGAATTCCTCAGCCAGCATGGCCAATTCTGAGAAGCGTGGAAGCTACCATTTCCCATATTTGGAAGACTCCCATTCTGGGGAAAGCTGAATTAGATCAGATTGCCCAACTAGACATGAGACAGTTGCCTTCACTCCCAAGAAATTCAGGATTGTCTTAATGCAGCCTTCTCCAATCTATGCCTTCCAGATGGACCGTGTTGTCTGGAGTTGATAGGACACCGGATTAGAAAGAATGCCTTAATGGTTTATAAACTGCATGTACCAGTAGTAGAGTTTGCATGCTGTATGAGACAGAGTATGTTTGTCTGAGGATTTGTCACTCATCTTTGCAACATATGCTGCTGGAATTTTATTTTGGAAGAGCTGTTGAACAAGGAAATATAGTAACTGGGCTTTCCATTTATTTTAGGCTCAGGCAGCTGGTTCTCCACATACTTCCCCCACCCATGGAGCTGGCCGCTCTATGCCAATGCCAGTCAGGTCCACGTCTGCTGGTTCTACCCCAACTCATGTACCCCAAGATTCACTTACTGGTGTTGGTGGAGACGTCCAGGAAGCATTTGCACAAGGTGAGCCATAACGCTGACACATAATACACATACCCTTTTGTGGATGTATAGATGAAAGTATGAGGGAAGAAATGGGGAGGGGAGAAGATAAAAGCTCTAAAGTGCACACTTTATTTTTAGAAAGTATTTTAAAATGCACTTCTGCAGAAGAACACCAAAAGCATTCACTGTGTCCTATAAGTGCTCGGCTATTATTCCACTGATTTCTCTGTGTTTCACATATGCAGGGTTATTATCTAGCCAATTTTGTGTGATTCATGCAAACTGCTTGTTAATTTTCTCTTAAGCATTTCACTCCGTGGGAGATGGAACATGCTCAGATCCACTGCACTGCCAGCACGTGATTGCCCAAGTCCTTCTGGGAGGTCATCCCCATAGCCTGTTGAAAACAGCAAATGTTGACATTGCCTGGGATGTACACAAAGTCCCCACTGGGACTGCTGCTATGACAGTCATTTCTACTGCTGACTATCTCATTCCTTCTTTGCATGACTTCTCCAGCAACTGCAATTGGGAGAGTTGCTTCTGCATCAGGCAACGGAAGCAGCTGTGGCTGATATTCTCTTGCTATCACATCTTTTTTTTAATACTGCCCCTCCTCCCGTCACCATGGTAGCTACCACCACCTCCTCAAGTCACAGCTGCCTCTTGTCTCCAAGAAAGCCAACTGTTCACTTATGGAAGGCACAGAGGCTATTGTTGCTGCTGCCATGATCACCACCTTCCAAAAAACTGCCACAGCAACCATACCTCTTCTCTTGCTCAGCTTGGTCACTTTGAGATGATGAACCAGGAGTCAAATCACTTGTTGACTGATCTACATAGTCAATAAGTGGGGAAACCCCCTTCGGATCAGTCTTTACATCTACAATAGATGCAGATTCTCACCAATATTTCCTGGAATGCAGGCCATCCTAGCAAAGACAGAACATATCTTTGGATTGGGGAATAAGAATAATTTTGACTTTAGTTATTGAAGTCCACAATATAAAAGTGTTATAGTAGTGTTACAGACAGCCACTAAATTTTCTTAGAACAATGAGTTTGCATATTGCTTCATCACCCTTTCTCAGGAACTCGACGGAACCTCCGTAATGATTTGCTGGTAGCAGCTGATTCAATTACCAATACAATGTCGTATTTGGTGAAGGAGCTTCATTCAGGTATGCAAGAAATTTCTATATTAACCTAAGCAAAAGACTCAAGGAATCTGCCAGGCACATTTTGGGTGCCTATGATGTTTCCTGTAGTGAGGCTTTCAACTGAAAAATTAGTCCAAATGTTTATTATTATATTTATTTATTTTATTTATTGAATTTGTATACCGCCCTACTCCCAAAGGACTCAGAGCGGTGAACAGCCAAAAGATAAAATACATGTAATACAAATGTTAAAAAACCATTAAAATACAATTAAATAAATTGGCCCAGAGAACAACATTTAAAACACCCCACATTTACAAGACAAATTTAAAATTTTAAAAATTTAAAAACAGTTTAAAAGAGAGGTTAGGCCAGGCCGGCCTGCTGGAATAGGAATGTTTTGAGGGCATGGCGGAAAGCGTTAAAATGTTAATACAATTTTCCTCAACAAAATAAGTTGAAAGAAATATGTTGTTCTAGGACAGTGTTTCTCAATCTCAGAGCCTTTAAGGTGTTGGATTTCAACTCCAGCTGAAATCCACACATCTAAAAGGCACTAAGATTGAGAAATATTAGTCTAGGATGGTAGTTTAAATAAGTATTTTATTTACTTTATTTACTTAATACAGTATTTCCTATTTTAGGGAAAATAAACTTAATAAAGTAAATAATAAAGTAGTAAAATTTAAGAAATAAATTAAAATGTGTATTTATTTTATTTATATTTTATCTTCATGCTAATAATAATCATTTTGTTTCCTGCTTATCTGAGCATATTTATATTATAAATAAAATAAACTCCAAGCTTTAGTTCAAGGCATACATATTCCGTAATCCAACACTTGCTATCAAAACATAGAACAATTTTTGGCAGAATGGAAGGCCAGCCAGAAAAATTAATCAGTTTCAAGGATAGAGTTGAAAAATTGTAATTGCCCAAATGGGCTGATGTAGAATGTGAAATACGTTTTTCCTGCAGAATTTAGATAGTTGTAGGTGATGATATGCAGTTTGCTAAATATTTAGATTCTTGATTTTCCTCCAGATGTGTTGCCTATAATTCCCAAAGGCCCAAGGCCCACTCCACGCTTGTGGTGCTTGGAGCGGTAGTCAAACAAATATGGAAGACAGCCATAGTTTGGAGAACAGAGGCCCCAAAGGTACATGCATATATCAAGAGAGGTTAGTTTTAAAGGACAACATAGACATAATTCATAGACAAATTGAAATGTATCCTCCAGCATAAGGAGAAAAAGACTGGATGCCTCAGTGTAATATATTTTAGAGGCAGTTTTGCAGCTGTCCTTCCTTTTTTAATGACTAATCATTCATGATCTACAGCTAAATAAGTGAGAATCTAGACCAGTGTTTTTCAAACTTGGCAGCATTAAGACATGTGGACTTCAACTCCCAGAATTCCCTAGCCAGCATGTTTACAGCATTTGAAAAACATTGGTATATAGGCCTAACAGTTGCAATTTAGACAAGATTAGGGCCCTATTCTTTGGTTCCTCTTTAACTACCCAAACAAACAAACTAATTTGGCTCACAAATTATCACAAATTTATCCATGGCACATGGATAAATCTACTTTCTAGGTAGACAAAAAGGCTAATCATCAGTTTCCACTAGAATATTTAAAAATTAAAGAGACTAGAATCTGAAATGCTGAATTTAATTTTAAAATCAAACCATACTTAGTTTTAAGTTTAGGAAGAATCTGAATTTTTGAAAATACTTTACAAACTCATGTTACAGGGCATATTCCTGGAGCTTTACAAAATCGAGTCATTCTCATTTACCAGCTGGTTGAAAACAAAATAATTGTATTTATCCTACTTTTTTGGAGTTACTTCTAAAGAGGGAAATAATTTGTTCCTTGGATGACCTGGCCACTAGGCAGTTCCTTCTATAGCTATAGCTCTGTAGCTTGAGTCATACGAGAAATCATCTGGGGTACATATGCATGTAGATTTTGATCTAGTTCTCTTTGAGTCATGGCCAAGCAAGGGAATAAGTCAGGCTAAACAGGTCACAAAAAGGTCACAAAAATGCTGTGGAGAAACCAGATGCTAGAGCCTGATCAGAATGCAAACTCCATAGGGAGGCCAGGAAAGACATAGAGTGCTGTCAACTCAGTACAAAAGGCTCAGGTTCCATAATAGAATTTCAGTGGGTAATAATAGCAGGCCCCCAAATAATTTAGTACTGGTGACATCCTGTCCTTCCCCTAGCCAAAATGGTCACTTGACTTACATGTGATGAATACAACTAGGGAGGGTTCCTGAAGAAGAAACTAGGTTTGCTGTCAATTGGATGCTTGCTTTTGACTAAATTGTTTCTTCGATATCAATCTCAGAAAGGTCCAAAGAATCTACTCAGGCCCTCTAATATTTCATGCTAGTCATATATCCATGGTCTTGTGGTATAGGTAGAATATGACACAATTGTAGCAGCTTATAGGATGTTCTGATTTATTCATAGAAAGCAGTCTTGGGCACTCCCGTGCTCTTTCGTATGGTAACTAAAACAAGGATTGCAGCAAACTAATAACTGCTCCTCACACATGCAAATACATGGCCTTTGGAGACCATATGCTAATATTTTCATGATATTCTTCAGGTCTTTTTGTTTAGTTGGGAAATTGCTGAATGTTTTTTGCAGAATTAATCCAGGCACATTTAGTCTCCGTGGACTCCAGAACTGCAGCCATTGGTTCCACAATATAGCATCCTGAGACTCTGAACTGAATTGGCCAGACTGTTTTTCTCTTATTTTGGACATGAAAAGATACATACAAATTGTAAAAAGTGGGATTTGTTCAGCATCCAAGATTTGTGTGTTGTGCTGAGTTCTTTGCAGTTCAGGCAAATGATGAAACAAACTGCAGGTGCCCACTTTGATGAGAGGCAGACAAGGAGATCCTGGAAAGCATCTAACCCCTTCTCATTTGTGTAAATCAAGAGAAATAATTGGAGTTAGGACTCCCCAACAGCTAATGCTGAGCTGGGCATTTTATGACTGAAGTCGTAGTGATAGAACAGCATGCTTCCCAACTCTCTCTCTAACTTTGTTGAGCTTGGTTTTGAAACCTTACATCTGTATAATCTGGGTTTTTTTTCCTGACCTACAGCATCCTGAGTAACTGTTAAAAGAATCAGAAAGTGATTTCATTAGACTCAGCCAGGGAAGCCAAAGGGAGATATGACTTAAATCTAGCCCTCCTATCACTACAAAATAAAAAAGCAGATTAGTTACAATCTTGCCTCAAGGATTTTGCATAAAGGCCATAGGTCTTTTTATTTTAATAGGTCATTTTAAATGTCATTTTCCATGCTCCTAAGCAAACATAGCTGATTGGCCTCAAAAGCAAGTAATCTACATCTCTATAACATGCTCATCCATGCTCACTTTCGAAAGCCAGATAAATGTGAGCTCCGTTGTCCTATGCTGGACGTACAGCAGTGGTGCAAAAAAAGGTAGTTTCAGCATCTCTTTTTATGATGCCTGCAGAGCCACTCAGAATAGGTGGGGCTAAAATACAGCCCCATTTTTAAAAGTTATAGACAATTCAAGTTACAAAGTCAGCTCTTTAAGGAACCTCTTAAAATCCTGAAGCCTAAAATTGCCCTACTCATTTTTAGAATATAGTCCACAATTTAAGCCAATAAAGTTGCACTTGTACATTCCTCTTATTACTCTGAAGAAACATCCTCCCTTTTCTTCATAAGTCTTGTTCCTCTTCTCTTCTGAGATATTTCCTCTTTCTTGTTCTTTCCAACTTTATGTCCACCATATTCTATGAGTTCACCGCCCAACTCCTTTCTGCCCTGTACTTAGGAAAGTGTCTACATAGTGCATATTTTAAGAAATGAATTTTACAGTATAACTTAAAACCAACATACATGGTATATACAGAAGGGGTTTTCCTCTATTGAATGAACACACTCAATCTTTAGAATCTTGTTTAATTTATTTTCATGCAACCTCTGCTCAGGAAGGTTAAGAGGGACTGTAATGTATCCTTTGTTGAATATACCATTCAGTTCTTTTAATTTCAGGATTCTGTTTTCTGTTAAAAGGATGTCTGGTTGTCCCAATCTGGTTAAAGGTTTTTACTTCTGGGCTCCAAATAGAGTCTGAGATTCAGACCAAAGCTGCCCTCTCTGTCTTTGTTGGCCATGCCATCTTGAAGAAGGAATCACACCTTAAGTCACCTGTGAGCCACAGTGGCGCAGTGGTTAAAGTGCAGTACTACAGGCTACTTCTGCTGACTGCCAGCTGCCTGCAATTTGGCAGTTCAAATCTCACCAGGCTCAAGGTTGACTCAGCCTTCCATCCTTCCGAGGTGGGTAAAATGAGGACCCAGATTGTTGGGGGCAATATGCTGACTCTGTAAACCGCTTAGAGAGGGCTGTAAAGCACTGTAAAGCGGTATATAAATTTAAATGCTATTGCTATAGAAAGAATAGCAGAGCTTCTTAAGTCTCCTGCCATTACAGCTCCCTGCTCCCTAGCTGGCCCCTCACTTTTTCTCATTGCCGCTGGCTTTTTTCTGTCTTAGGGGGAGAGGAAGGAGGTGAGGAGGAGGAAGAGGAGGACAAGATGCAGAATGGGAAGGACCGAGGTAAAAGCAAAGCTGTCGTGACTCCTTTGAACAAGTACCGGTATATGGCAAGTTTTGGAATGTGCTAAAAAACCTAACACGATTCAAATTTAAAACATGTCAATGATTAATCAGAAAACTGAATCTAAGTGCACATGGCACACTTCACCTTGTTCCCAAAATTGCCATGGGTATGAGTTGGTCCTGTTGCTAGGGGATGTATATTTGCCAGCTGCAGCAGAGGGCTCCACAAATGACTCTTTTGGCATCTAGTTTGTAATGATCAGCTAGATGGCTTGCCATTTTAACTTCTTACATTTTGGTTTAATCAACCTTAGTAGATGTTAGGTACAAAAATAGCTCTGCAAAACCTAATATGGATGGAGACCAAATGGCATGGAAAAGGAAGCATTTACAATGTTAATTCAAGCTCTTTTCAAGACAATTATCTGTGACACTGAGGATATCACAGATGTGATTGACTTTCATATGTTTGTGCACACATATTTGCTCACCTAATGGCGTATTTCTTCCACTAGATATTTCATAGTTCCTTATTATTAATGGAATTTACTGAACAATGCACTACGAATTTAACTTGCCTGATTTGTCTTTGGATTACTAATTATTTTTAAGTTTGTTTTTAAAAATTGACTAAGACCTAATACATATGCTTGTTCCAGAGATATAATGTTCACATTTTAAACATGAAAATAAAAATGATCTCAGGTTTTACCAAACTTTTTTTTGTTTCTTGCAGGTTAAATAAAAAAAATCTGGACCAGACAGAGGTTTAAGTAAGTGTATGGCTATTCTGTTCCAAGCAAGCAGAAGCCATTGTAATTCTTATAGCTCAATCAGAAACATTGTCCACCATTTCCTCTTCATAGACAGACAGAGAATAAGATAATAGCAGAGAGGTTAATATAGGTGGGGTGGGGCAAGTATCCTGCTACAGAGTATTTATATGCCTTCCTATTGGTTGATTGGTGTATTGCTGGCTGGCGATTGGTTATTGTTTCCTTGTGCTGCTAAGCCCTTGGGCTGATTTGCCACCAGTTTATCAGGTATTTAGGAGCCAAGGGCTTGGCAGCACAAGGAAACAACAACCAATTGCCAGCTATCAACACACCCATCAACCAATAGGAAGGCAGCACATAAATACGACTCACAGAATAGCCCAAAGCAAATATTCCAGTAGAGAGAAGTTCCATGAAGATGGGCTCCAGCACAAATCCAGAAGCTTGGAAGACTAAACCTGTGGTCCTGGTGTCTGACCCAGATTGGATCTTGCAATGTTTATTGCCCACTTCATGTGGACATTTTACTGGAGGTCACTTCTGAGTCTTTTTAGCCCCATCTAGGCTAAAAAGAAAGTTGAGTCACTTTTCTTCATGACAGAGTGAATTGTAGACATAAATTCAGTGGTGGGTTGCCCCCAGTTCACACTGGTTCTATAGAACTGGTAGTAAAACCGGCTGGAGGCCCCGACCCCAATGTTACAAAAATGCTTCTGTGCATGCGTAGAAGAGCACGCACGCGCGGCCCCATTACAAACTGGTAGTAAGGGTAAGTAGGATCCACCTGCATAAATTACACATACCATCCCAGGTTTAACACTGTTCTCAGCCTAACTAAGAATCATATCCAGCAATGTTCATAACTTATGATCTTTGGTTGTGGCTGATGATCTAAAAGTCACAATATCTGTTTCCCGTGAGTATTGCTTACTAGGTTTCATATTTTAAATATTGTTTAGGAAGATAGAATTCTGTCAATGCATAGGCAGATTTGGGGGCTGTGGACTCTACTGACATAGCAAACTCGTGTGGACTTTAAAAAGAATTATTTTCCTTTTCCTATATGGACATCCCAAGGTTTATACCTAGCACCTTTGGCACATTAAACATATGTGCTGCACCAGAGCTATATAACGAATGCCGATAATCTTAGTGATAACTGTCCCACGTAGTACAGGTGACATGTAGTTCAAATTGTGACCTTTTGTAGCAAGGTTTTGGATTTCACAGAACCCAGAAATTTCTTTCTTCTGCCAAGAAAGCTGGTGTGGTTTAGGCACATCTTGCCAGCATTCATTCAGAGGAATCAGATGCCTATTTCAGCATTTCATATTTATGGTCAGACAGAAATCCTGTTTAGTAGCTACCTCAAAGGGGATGGGATGAGATGGGAGAGGGATTGGAAATGTAAGAAATCCTAACATCGGAGACCTCACTGTGATGAATACTACACTCTCAGTATTACAGATCTACTAGCGCTTAGTGGAATTATGCCCATCTTGCTTAAAATGCTTTGTGCTCTACTCTTGCAGTCAGCTAAGAGATCCCACTGCGCTTCCAGTGAAGTGCTGATTCAAAAGGAATTTTTCTTTCATGTGGGTCTTGGAGCCCTCAAGGAATCACCTACTGGGACTATGATCTGGAAACAATTTGAAATGCCTGTAGCTTTTTAAGGAGATGCACATGGCATGTGTATGCAGCAAACAGAAAATTGTTTGAAGCCTCATTTAATGTTTTTGGCTCTCTACAAAAGAACCTTGACAGTAGGAGAGAGACACAGAAAAGAGCAAGTGGGCTAAATTGACCACTGGCTAAATTAATTTTTAGTCAGATTTAAAATTCTGGGTGTATCTCTTATTGGACAGGTGTCCTATGAGATTCTCTATGTCTCGATACAGGTAACAAGGTGTGAGCTCCTATTCTAAAGATGTCTCCACATCCTTCAGAAGAGGCATGATCCAACTGATACATCCACCATTGTGAAGCTGTGACTAACACAACAATTGCAGGGGAGCAATCTTCTTCCAACAGACACAATGGCTTTTCTGGGGGGAGGGCAGGGCAGGGCAGGGCAGGGGCATCTCCTTAAATTTGCATGTCCTATTTCTGTAGGTGTTCAGTGCTAACTGGACAGAGCCTCATCTCTGTTTCAATGAGAAAGCTTTTTGAATAATGGCTTCTGAAAATGCAAGCCGCCTTCCTGTGAATTGTCCCCATTCCCTACCTGGGCTTCATTGTTCACACCTTATCATGCTCTGGCAGTTACATTTGTGATCTTCAAGTCCCCCATGAGCAGACTTGCAACCAGCTGAATTTCTTCGCCAAGTAACAGAGATGAAGGCTGGCTGTGGATTCTGATGTGGCGGCAGCCCCTCTTGCCTTTTCAGAATGCTGTTTTTGTCTGTGAATGGCAGGTTGCTTGGGTTGTTTGTGAATGCATGTCACACAGTGCCGGTGAGACAGATGGTGGTGCTGCCAGGAGGCAACTGACTTGGGTACCATTAAAGATAGTTTAGTGGTAAATGGATAGGTCTGGCCGACAAGGTCAATCCAGCTGGAGATTTCTCTCTGTCAGCCCTATCAAAACAAATGAGAGCACCACTAGAGCATTATCTCTACCATGCCCTGTGCAGCTGGCTTGTTTCAGTGAGGATGGTATCGAGTTATGACTTGGTAGGTTGTGCCCTCAGTTTCACTTATGAAATGGGCATTAAAATGAGGATTTTCACCATGAGCAGTCTAGTGGATTTTACACCAGTCCTGATGTCAGGAGAAGGATGGGAGAAAGGTCCAGCATGTGGCAGCTACCTTTAGAGAATTCTCAGAACAGGTAGCTTTCTGGTTGTTGCCTTATAGGATGGCTTAGTGGAAGAAAGCTGCTTTAAGCAAATACTGCTATCACCCAATGCCCTTTCCAACATCAAATGCCAGTCAGTCTGCTGTTCTGGTGGCTGAGAAACCTTCTCCTTCCCTTCTATCCGTAAGTGATTCCCTTTTTCTTTCAGAAGCTTGCTCTGAGGGAAATGTGGAGTAGCCTTGGAGTGAACTCTGACTGAGCTGGCTGGGTGTATTGGTTCTCCAGGGAGCAGGCTTACAATTTCCATATTGCCTTTTAGGGTTAAGAGAAAGTCATGCACAAATATTCAACTGATTGTTTTTGAAGATCTGAAACTCCAGTTGTAGGACCAAGAGCTATTTGTACAGTCATATAGGACGTTCTACATCTGTCCTATTTTGTTGGTTCAGATTAGGTAAATGAAGTGCTGCTTAGCCTTTGTATTATAAATAGTTGCCTGTAGCTATAAAAATACACACAGACAAATATCCAAAGCTGGGATTATTGTGGCCACAGCAAAACCTACAGTCAGAAATTGGAGGATTTTTAACCATTTTGTTTAACCATTTTACCAATGCAAGGCATATCTGATTGGGACCAGAGGTTCTCCAATTCAGCGATCATATTTAGGTTCCTCTGTCATGACTTGCCTCCATCATGTATAGCAGATGAGCAGAAAAACTTAACTAAACCTAGTGGATGTCAATAGTGAACCATTTACGTAGAGTTGCAAGGAAAACTATTTAGAAATTTACATAGTCACCAAGAATTAAGTCAATTCCAGAGGCTGTTTACCTTATTGAAAGTACACAATCATTACCATAATTCGTCTACTTGTCAGAATCAAAAATCTGCCTGTAGATCCTGTTCTGTCTTCTGCCCAATCCTGAAGTACATGACAGCATATAATCTTTGCTTAAAATTATTTCCATCTCCTGCCATTCTAGAAACCGTGAGGTCATGCTGGATGAGATGGTTTGCTAGATTTCACAGGTGGTCCTCTATGCACCAAGGTGCCAACTTCAGGAGTTAGGAACAGCAGCTTTCAACCAACCTCAAATTGCCCTGCTTGTCTTTTGCAGCTGAAAAGGCCTGGCATTTTAAAGCTTCTCTTCCTGCTGTCAGCTACCTCCAGAGACCAACTCTCATGCGGTTGTATCTCTGCCCTTTCTTGCAATCCAGTCCAGGAGGAGATTATAACACAAAAGCTCATTTCTGCATGAAATTCCAGGATCGGCGGTTCAGGCGGTGATAAGACAAATGAGAGGTACCTACCCTGCACTTCTGTCAGTGCCATGTGTTTGGCTCACTTTATCCTCAACACAATGTATATTTTTTAGCCTACAGAGTAATTAACATATGCTTCATATTACTGGAATTGAAGGGCTTCTGGGTATACTTTAAGACAGTTTCTAAGCTGTCCTGACAGGCTGAGGTACATAGAGGAGCTAATAACTCATCCTTCCATCTGTATTCCCCAAGAGCTAAGGAAGTACTTCCTTTTTCCAAACTGCCCTTCACCTGTAATACTTGGGCTTGGGAGACAGGTATATTACTAAGCTGTTGGCCAAAGTTCAACAGCCACAAAGTCCTGAGGGAAGCAATGTCAAATTGAACTGGGTTCCTTCTCTTATACAATGAAGAATGCCCCTGAACACATATAAAGTTCATCTGAGGATCCTGCGTGGTTCTGAATTGCATCTCCGACCTAGTTGAAAAGAGAAATCATGAAAAAAAACATATTATTTGGCAAGAAAAAGACAAAATAAGGGGTCAAGTTCTTTCTCTGCCATCCATTGCTAAAGAACATCTTGGCAATTATATTACTGAAGCTGAAGATGTGCCCAAGACTACTGGTTTAGCTAGCTGGTCCCCCAGAGAATTTGGCTTTGCTACTCCAGCTGCCCCATGCATGCTTGCCAAACCTTCTGGCTCGCTCTCTTCTCTAGGTGTGAACTCTTGCAATTCAGGCAAAACATTTTTGGCTGCTGGGATTTGGCAACGAGAGGAATCTATTCCAAAGCATTTTGCAATATGCTTTTCAATATGGTGAATGTGCCTTTGAAAGCCAGGAGACAGAAAGATCTCCCAACTGCAGTTGAAAAAGATCTGCTCTCAGGGCCTGTGTGCAGGGTTTGGTGCTGTCTAATATTTTTGGTTGGAAGACAAAACCCAGTCATCTGTTTTTCAAAATGTATTCAGTTGCTGTTTTCACAGAGATCCAATGAAGTTGAAAACCTAGCTATACTTAGACTATGTTCACATGACATACTAATCACAAACAGGCTTTGTGATTAATTTATATTTCAATGTATTGTGTGAGCTCAAAAAAATGGGTAATTGAATAAACTATGTTTCAGCTAACCATGGATGAATATTTTGTAACCAAAATGTGTTGCTGTAGGGGTGGAAATTTTTCACTGTATCAAAAGTCATTTCTTTTGAATCTACCTTGTGGTTTTGAAGTATGTTGGCCAAGAAAAACCTACAATATATGGCTATTGGCTTATGAGTAGAGTCAGGCAAGATTGTGAGGCTGGAGTCAGATCTAAAGATGGCTTGTGAAGAAGAAACAGAGGGGCGTCCATCTTTTGTCTACTTGGTGCAGTATGGCGCTAGAAGCAGGAACAATGCAGGCACTGAGTCACATGATAGGAAGATGGGTGGCATGTAAATATAATTATGGTGAGCCTCCTTTTTCAGAAGTCACCAAGTGGTGCTGCTGCCATTGGGGAAGACCAACATTTTAGATCCATTGTGCACATCTGGCTCACAATGCTGAGGCAGTAGCTTCTTCACATACGGTGGGTGGCATCAGTGTGGTAAAATAAATTGCCTCCAAAAAGAAAGCAGTAAAGCTTCTCTGAGGGTTCAGCTAGGATGGCTAGCATTTAGAACAGAATTTAGTCTGATCCTGATAGAGAAAGGACAGAGCAGGAGCAGAGGACATGAGGTTTTCTGGAGTCCCTGCTTTCCTGAGTACCTTCTGTTTATGTCATGTTTCGAATTGGTTTTAGTATTGGGGTATTACAGTATTGGGGGAAGGGGAAAACAGAGCACTGAATGAAGCAAAAGATAACCAAAAAGAGGGAGTTTTGACCTAGGGGTCTAGAGCATTCCAAGATATTATAAAGGTACGGGATACCTGTCCCCACACGAGAGTTTGCATAGAGATGTTAAACATGGAAAAGGATTGTTAACATAATTGAACTTTCCTCAAAATAGATATGTATTTAAAATATTTTAGTAACAAAAGGGGCCAGTGTGTCTGCTCTTGTTCACCTTCGGAGAAGAGCGGCATATAAATTGAACTAATTAAATTAAATTTAATTAAATTAATTCTCTCTCTGTCCCTCTCTCTCTGTCTCTCTCTCTGTCTCTCTGTCTCATTCACACACATACACAAATGGCAAAGTTTTATTTCTTTGATTGGTCCACAAATAGTCCCTAAAAACCAGCTCCTTGGAGAAAGGAACTGAGAAGAGAATTTGGTTTTGATTATCAGAATTGTAGAACAGCCAGGTGTGAATTCTTGATGAGCTGTCCATCATCCTCATTCCTTTATGTCCAAGTAATTTGGTGTGTAGGTAGAGGGCACTTTGGTAGGTATGAACAAATATGAATGACCAGAAAAGATGAGCAGACGTAGCAGGATTCTTGAGGCAACGGCTTTGATAGAGCTCTGGGACAGCATGGGGCCCCAGCTGAGGGGCTTTGCTGTTCCTATTTTCTGGGTGACTTGTCTTGCAGTTGTGGGAGAGGGCAGTGGATATGCCAGCCCAGATTAAAATGAAACAGACTTCTGGCTGGCCACATAGACTCATAGTTCAGAAAGATTTTGCTCTGCATACAGAAATTAGGTTCCTTTGGGAAAGCTGCTGCTCCTCCTCTTTAGTGTTCTTCAAAAGGACCAATTCTCTTCCTCAGGACATCCTGAAAGGGACAGGGAAGAACCTGCAGCTGTTGGCACATGTCTGGGAATCAGCAGGCAGGAATTAAAGATTTGCTGTGATCATACAACACACTTAGTTTGATTACTGAATTTTTGATAATTCATCCAGTCCCATTTTCTAAGTTCATTCAATATGTTGACCCTAGACTAGTGCCATGCTAAACCATATAAACAAAACTAAAATAATGTGGCTTCACGTGTGCAAATGCAGCTGCTGGGTCTTTGATCTGGTGTGTGAATACAGCCATGATGTGTCTAGGCATCTAAGTGAAGCTGTGATTGAGATAAGACATGCTAGCAGCTAGGCCAAACAGGAGGCAGAACAAATAATTCTTCCACATGGAAACTAAAGGCAAGACAGCCAATATTCTCCCTGGGATGCAAAGAAGATGCTGGAACAAAGCTTCCTCCCACCATTATTCCTAGACAGGGTGGATTTTATTTAAATCATGATTTAAATCACTAGTAAAAAGGCTTGATTTAAATCAACTTGATTTAAATCATAATTTTTAAAGAGCAACTGTCATCTCTGCTACTCCTTTAACCCACTGTTGACTCACCGATAGTCCCAGTGTTGCAGAATATACAGCCTCATGCTACATAACTAAGCTCCATTTCATGCTGAATAAACTAAATTATTTATGTATCTTAAATAGAAAACTATCTTACAATAGATTTTTACCCCAAAAGATTTTATTAAAATAAATTCGATAAAAATCAAAAAAATCCGATTTAAATCCTATTTAAATCAAAAAAATCTGATTTTTTTGATTTTTTAAAAAAATCATTGATTTTTATCCACCCTGTTCCTAGATGCTTTCAACTGAATAGAATAGAATAACAAGAGTTGGAAGGGAGCTTGGAGGTCTTCTAGTCCAACCCCCTGCTTAGGCAGGAAACCCTACACCACTTCAGGCAAATTGGTTTGGCCCTTGCTGATTATGGCTTGCCACTGCTACAGTTTGACCACATTATCGCTAGGGTAGGTATGATACTGTACAAAGATATGGAAGGCAAGTCAACTATGCTGATTGTTACCAAGATGCAGTGGAGGATTGTGTTTCCCTGTTGAGAGAGAAAAAAGGAAGCAGAATTTCTCTAGAAATTATGATGTGGAGAGCAAGGAAATTGTGCACTGTGTATGTGTGAATGTATGCATTTTCTTTTTGATACATCCTGGATCTCAAACAATACTAGTTCTACCACTGACAATTAATACTTTTTTGTCTACTACGCAGCCCACCAAAAGCTAAGCTTGGTACAATGAGAACCAATGTGAGGATGAATGTAATAATTCCAGTTTACAACTGTATTCCCACTCGTGCATGGGCGAATGTGTATATGTGTGAGAGAATTCCTGAATGTGTGAATGCAAATGTTTTCACTAAAGTTTGTTAAAAATATATGGGAGATCCTGTACATGTTGGGAACAAGTCTAATAGAAAGCTGTAAACTAGAAGCCATGTTTTCTCATCTGCCAAATATTTAATAAATGAGTCTTATCCATCTCTTCTTGTATGTGCTTGAATATCTGATGAAATTCAGGGTGAATATAGACATTAGCTCAACTCAAGTACCAAGGAACAAAATCCTCCAAAGAAATGATGGGTTCCAAAATTAAACTGATATTATTTTCAAAAATGTTACTCTCGGACAAGAGACTGACATTTATTTAAGACATGATTTTACCATTTACTTTAATATCTATTTTTGTATATCTATTTTATAAAACAGAATCAGAGTAGGTTCAAGGAGACAGCTATCATGGTCTTGTTAATCACGATGGCCACTGATGTGCCAATCAGCTGCAGCAGAATGTGAGGGATGAAGGAAGTCCCTTAACCTGAGAAAGCAAATATAATCTCTTGACTGGGGACAAGAGCTGCAGAGTGTCATGATTGGCATAGTACAGCTAATACGTTCCTAATTTGATTTGCTAACAGTATTTCCAAACTACTTTTCATTGCAAAGAATCTCCTTTCTCCCTGCCTCCATCCTAATAATATTTCACAATGAAAACTAAGATGAAAATTAAAGAAAAACCTTTCTATTCAAAGAAAAGAGAGCTAATAGCTGAAGAAGGCCTAACTAAAAAAAAAAACGCTTTTCAATTATTTAAAACCCATTGCTGTGGCAGCCTGGCATACTGCAGAGTAGATGTTATTCAGCAGCGTAGGCGACGCTGCAGGAAAGTTACTGCCATATTGCCCTCAAGGAGTAAACTGAGCAAAGCAGAGAGAACACAACCTCCTCTGGAGTAGCAGAGGTTCTGGGAAAGTGATCCAACTAAAGTTTCAGGTAACTGTGCCTATGCTTTAGACAGGGGTGGGCAACTGTGGCCCTTTTACAACCTGTGGACTTCAACTCCCAGAATTCCTGAGACAGCCAAACTGTCTCAGGAATTCTGGGATTTGAAGTCCACAGGTTGTAAAAGGGCCACAGTTGCCCACCCCTGCTTTAGTCCAAGGGTCTCCAACCTTGGCAACTTTAAGACGTGTGGAGTTCAATTCCCAGGGTTCCTCAGCCAGCTTTGCTGAGGAACTCTGGGAGTTGAAGTTCACACGTCTTAAAGTTGCCAAGGTTGGAGACCTCTGCTTTAGACCTTTAAATGCTACACCAACATTTGGCAACCAATACAAATTCTTCAGCACAGTTGTAATGCGTGTGTGTGATGATACTGCACATCTGTCAGAAATCTAGCTGTGGCATTCTGCACCACTTTTAGCTTCAGGATCAATCTCGACGGTGGTCATGCACAGAACATATTGCGATAATTTGCCAAAAGACTGGAATAATCCATATTGTGGAATGGATTCTGCTGAAACTCACAAATATATTGTACAGAAGAAGCATTAGTAGCAAGATTACCCTGTTTTCTTCCATTCATGCTGCCATGATGTCCATATAACACTAAAGACTAAAGAATGTGCTCCCTTGCTTATATATCCTCTGCCAGTACAATAAACAATCCCTTTGTCTTGCACAACAAAAGGCAAGAAAAATAAAACTGCCTTCAGCACTGGACGAATAAATAGAACAGCAGAATCTCTAGATGTCCGGTATATGCACTCACCATGGCTCAAGTGTGCATCATCTAAAGGTCAAACTCCACAGCTTCCCTATGAGTTGGGGAAGAACACAAAGGGGCCAGGACAGAAGAAGAGCACAAAACAGCCCTTCAAATGCAGAGACCGGCAGGTGTGTGAAATGTCCTGGATGTAGAGCAGCTGTTTGGGGCAGCGTAGCCATACATCAGCTCTCCCATCCCCATAGAGTTCTCTCTGGAATGTGTGGGAATTTCCATGTGCGAAGGACTTTGTCTGGAGGTGATGGAGGAGGTGGTTTGGAATGGAAAAGAGGTGGCTGCTCTCTGACATGACTACAGCCTAAATATGAGTATACCAGCCATAACAATAACTGGCAGTTTTTCAAAGGAGAAGAATCCGAGGTAAGACTAGACTTGCCAAGTACCATCAAATTCGTGAGAAAGATGTTGAGTGGTTGAGTGATGGTTTCTTTTAATTATATATTCCCTTGGGGATCCAGGGAGGCTGCAGACCGCTGGAAAGAATTAATATCTAATGGAAAACAGACTATTTATATATTATTTGACCATTTTGTATCTCAATGGGCAAGGAAGCCATAGTCAACCAACAAGAATGTTGACATATTTCTCCTTGAACAAAATCTCTTTCATTAAATTGAATGAGAAGCAGTAGGAGGAAAATGCACACTTTCTTTGTCCACAGCTAAGTAGAGAACTGATGTGGGATTTCCTGTGTTTGCCATTATTTTAATGATGAGTTTTGATTAAGAAATATTTGGCATTCTTTTATTTATCCTATTTGTGTAGCCACCCATCCAGGGGTGAAATCCAGCAGGTTCTGACAGGTTCTGGAGAACTGGTAGTGGAAATTTTGAGCAGTTTGGAGAACCGGCAAATATCACCTCTGGCTGGCCCCAGAGTGGGGTGGGAATGGGGATTTTGCAGTATCCTTCTCCTGCCACGCCCACCAACCACGCCACGCCCACAGAACCAGTAGTAAAATTGGATTTCACCACTGCACCCATCCCACACAAAAGTGACTCTGAGCAGAATTTCCTCCATTTTAGAGAGAGAAAGGAGAATTGAAGGTGGAAGTGGATTACATTTCCAGCTTCTTACTTTGCAGGCCTCAGCAGCTAAATTAATAATTCACAGAGCCCTAGTGGTATGTAATGTTAATAGCCCCCATGGACAGTGATGAAAATGTTATATTTTCCAGGTTAATTAAATTTGCAAACAAAAGGTGAATTCTTTAACATTATGCTCTTAAATAATGATCAGAAACAGCTGCAACCAGAGTGTAAAAATGATGTTCCTTTCTCTCTCCGGCTGCTGACTGCAACAGGAGGAAAAGCAAAGGGTGCTGGGAGCCCAGAATTTCTGTTTAAGAGGAGAGCTCAGATGTTTCCGTTTGAAAAACCAATATTTCTTTTTCTTTCTCAAGCTTGCCCACTCAAGCAGAAATCTTCCATGATAGAGCAAGAGATACAAGTATTATCCCCAAATGCCAAACTAGCTCTAAGCACAAACCAACCTACTTTTCCAGACTTCTCCTAAGAAACCACTTAAAGTAGGCAAGATTTTTTTTTCCTGCTCTCCTTGGTCTTCTGCAGGCAGTTGTGACTCTTTAGTCTCAGCAACAGGGGAGGAGAGGATTGGTAGCAAGGCCTTGGGATGGAGACCGCTAGGCACAAATGCCATGCAAGACTATCTGGGGGGATTATCCGAGTTATGGACGTTACATGCTCTTGTTGTATCTCCAGGGCAACCTGTGGAGCTTTGCTGGCTGGAGACCTGACTGCTCTGTTCCTCTCTGGTTGCAGGAAGTATTGCCTGGCTCAGCTCCTGAGCCTTTATTGTCCTTGCTGGATAATTAGGGAACTCCACAAAGGGCTCCTGCAGTGTCATTGAGCGCGTGTCCCTGCCTAATGAGAGACAGGCACGGAGCAGCCAGGAAGCACCATCCAGTCTGGACAGTGGGGAGGTCAGCGGTGGCCAGGAAAGGTGAAGGGTCATGCTGCTGCTCAAGTCGTGTGTGTGTGTGTGTGTGTGTGTGTGTGTGTGTGTGTGTGGTGTAGGTGGGTGCAGTTAATTCCCGGATCCCTGTTTGGGAGGGAGAGGAACAAAGAGAGAAAGTCAGGGTGTCTTTTCCTCTTGCTGTGTGTTTGCATTGGCTTCAGCAGCAGCAGCTGCCTGCCCAGAATGTTTTGTCTACTTCCCGGGGTTGGCAGGGTGTGTGACTGTAGAGGCCATTCCAAGCCTTTTCTGTTTCTTCTTCCCTCAAATTCCCTAAACAGAAGAACACTGATGTCAGGTGGGGCAGGGATCTAGGTCTTTGTAAATAGTTAGTTCCTTCCTAAGGTAAAGGTAATGGTTCCTCTCGCACATAATGTATGTGCTAGTCGTTCCCGACTCAAGGGGGCTGTGGTCATCTCCATTTCAAAGCCGAAGAGCCAGCACTATCCAAAGAAGTCTCTGTGGTCATGTAGCCGGCATGACTAAAAGCCAAAGGCGCACGGAATGCTGTTACCTTCCCACCAAAGGGGGTCCCTATTTTTCTACTTGCATTTTTTATGTGCTTTCGAACTGCTAGGTTGGTAGAAGCTGGGACAAGTAACTGGAGCTCACCCGGCTACACGGCACTAGGGATTTGAACCACTGAACTGCCAACCTTTCGATTGACAAGCTCAGCATCTTAGCCACTGAGCCACTGCATCCCTTCCTACCAGAGAGAAATTTCTTCTCGGGGCACAGTGGTGCTCTTTACCGCTGCCCACTCCACTTCGACACAACTCACCTGTCTTTGCTTTTGCGTGGGAAGATAATTTGATTCTTCCTGGAAATGGCTTAGTCACGCAGGAGATGAGGACAGAGGAAGGGGTATGTGGGGGTGCTGGTGGAAATAACCTGATGCCCACAAGACATGTCATTCAGCTCACTAGTGGCACAGAGGTTTGCACTTGATGAAGCTGCAATCCTGAATGCAGCCAGTGGATTTTGAAGCATTCGAAGTAGGAAAATAATATTCTTTTATTCACCAGGATGCAAATGTGACCTATAGTACAAAGATGTGCTTTGCCTTAGCATTCTATGGGCATTCCCTGCACCTTTGAAAGATTTGTATCCCCAAGTTCAAGTGTCTCAAATGTAGGCCCCAAAGAAGCTGAGTCAACCAGGTTATGGGCCTAGTATTGACTAGATTTGACACATTGCCCTATGCCATATTTTGTGTAATCTTTGGGGTTCTTTGAACAAACTATAGAGGCTTGGTTCACACAACACAGTAAACTACAGATGGTGGTGACAAACCACAATGTTTGATTTCATACAACTTCCTAAATCACAGGCAAGAAAACCACACATCGTGTAAATCAGAGTCCCCATTTGCTGTTGGAGCCATTTTAGAACAGGAGCCCTGCATTGGGGGTGATGGTGCTACGCCCATAAAAGCTGAGTTGGTCT